GATTACTTTGGATTACTTGATTTGCTGTAGAGAAACAAAGACGAGGAAATCTTCACATAAGAAGTTTTGTCTGATAAAAGAAAATAAAAAGTCCAGAACTTTACTGAAACCAAATTAAAAAATATTATTGATAGAAAACGAAGAAACACGTCCACACAGCAGGATTTAGTCCTGGTTTAGTCCTGGTTTTAGTCCTGGTTTAGTCCTGGTTTTAGACCTGGTTTAGTCCTGGTTTAGTCCTGGTTTTAGTCCTGGTTTAGTCCTGGTTTAGTCCTGGTTTAGACCTGGTTTAGTCCTGGTTTTAGTCCTGGTTTAGTCCTGGTTTAGTCCTGGTTTAGTCCTGGTTTTAGTCCTGGTTTAGTAGTCCTGGTTTTAGTCCTGGTTTAGTCCTGGTTTTAGTCCTGGTTTAGTCCTGGTTTAGTCCTGGTTTAGTCCTGGTTTCCTGGTTTAGTCAGTCCTGGTTTAGTGGTTTAGTGGAATTACTAAAAAAATAAATAAATAAAGGGATTTAGCCCAAAATGTGAAAACAGGAAAATCCCTCTGTGTAATCCATTTATTTCAAGAAAGTAACTGTAATCCAATTACCACTCACTGAAACAGTAACTGTAACTGAATACAGTTACTCATCATTTGTACTCTGATTACTCCGGTACATGTAATCTGTTACTCCCCAACACTGTTTATAATCCACGGTCGTTCTACACGACAAACACATAACGGCTCTGAATCGCCTGCTCTGATTGGCCAGAGCTCAGCAAATATGCAAATAGTGATTTACAATTAATACATTTAGTATTAACTGTTATTATTGATCAAGTTTTGTATAAAAGTTTGTTCTGAAATGCTTCTAAACTTGTGTTAACTGGTGTTTTATTATTAAATAAGTATTATTTTTTCACTATATTTCATGCATATTTTTTATTTTAGTACTTAAACGTGGACTATGTGACCTTCTTGTTTCTATGGAGATGTCATTGCTCTGCCTGGAATGTTCCACAGTGTGACTTTAAGCAGCTCTGCCTTGTATTTATTCAGTTACAGATGATTTTACTGCTCAAAAACACCTAGAGAAACAGACATTCTGACTGTGAATGGGGTCGCCTCTCCACAGATCTGACCTGGAACGTGGTCTGGTTTGGTTTCCGTGAAGATAGAAAAGTTTAATGCCATAGTGTGAAACATTCCAGATAAAGCAGTAACATCTCCATGGAAAAAAAAACATACTTGTAACTGAGTACATTATACTTGTACATGAGTGCACATGTTCAGTTTTCTTTCCACCGCTGTGGAGTTTTCATGTAGTGGAGACAAACGGTTTAGTCCCTGTGCAGAAAATTCATGTGTTAATTGATCGAGATACAATTCATGTCTCTGTCCAAGACGATTTTGCAGATTCAATGTTCTTAAAAACAGGTTTGAGCATTTCGGCCTCTTTACAAAACTGTTACCTGCTCAAAAACACCTGCAGTTGTGTTTTGTTTCATTCACACATTTGAGTAACTCTGCATTATTATTATTAGTCTGTTTACATCTCCAA